CTGAGACCCCAGGCTGTTTTGTCTGATGTCTGAAACCTGACGCTGTGGTGTGAAGATGTACAACATGCAGTTAATCAACACCAAGCACAGGCCTACATAACAGTAATCTTGAAGCCTGACTTTGATCAATACTTTCCCCATTTTTATAGATCAGTATCTCACACAGCTTCAGACATCAAACATGTCTTGGCAGACTAAGTCTAAACCCTATGTTTTATATGGTTCTATGTAGAACTTTTTTCGAAAAGAGTTCAATACACTGTTAGAAATAAAGGTTCTGTTCAGGTACATTTTTCGTTCATCAAGGTACAAACAGTGTAAATGTTCCCTCAAAGGTACAACAGTGGGTTTAAGGTCTGATTGTGAACCTTAAATAAATAAATAAGTTTGTCCAGGTGAAAAGTTCGTATTTGTACCTTTTCATAACCGAATGTTTTAAAACAGAACAGTAAAATAAAGTCCTGGAGTCGAGACGGGGTGTGTGGAGTCAGTACAGCTTAGAACATATCATTTCAGTGGATTATGGTTCAGTTATGTTCCCTGACTAAAGGTACTGAGATGTACCCTTGAGGGTCCCACCCCAGTGACAAGAGGGGTCCTGCCCCAGTCACAGTTTAGTACCTTTATTTCTAAGAGTGTAAAGCACCAAAAAGGGTTCTTCTATTGTTAGAGGCTTGACATCATAACAACAGAAGCATGTTTTTGGGCGCTATATAGAACCCTTTTCAAAAGGTTTTATATAGAACCATCTACAGCATATTCTCCATCAGTCTGAAGAACCATTTAATGGTACAAAGAACAAAGTTCTTCTTTAATAAGAGCTCTTGAAAAAACATCATTTTTAAGAGCGTAGGACAGAGAATGCTGCTCTGCGGAAGCCATAAAAAGTAAAAAAATAAACTAAACTGAGGCTCAAAACTCAAAAGAATCAGACGTTTCTCAAAGCAGAGCCGACAGCACTTCAGAACCACATATCTCCAGTCTCCTGAGTCCAAGCTCTTATCTCCAAACCGCCATCCTTCTGTTTTCCTCGAAACACAAGCTGCCTACAGAAACAGAAAGTTTCCCATGTCTGTGAAACCCACAGAACCAGGGTGGAATGACTTCTCCTTTCGATACTTTGTTCCTCTCAGGGTTTTTCTCAGGCTCGTAGTGCACTATAGGAGAACATACTTGTATTCATGCCACATCAGCGCCCTCAGAGAGGGAGGTTCCCACAGCAGCACTCATTCTAAACCAGCTCTGGACTCGACTGCACACAGAGCACATTGACTTGTTAATCTTTCTGAATAAAAATAGAGAATTACAGGCTGGAGTCGGGGTTACTGTGAAGTTCGGCAAGAGCCACAAGAGCAGGAAGAGGCAAAGGAAGCAAAAGGTCTGAACCTAAGTAGCCAAAAGGACCAAAAGAGCTGAAAGATCAGAAAGAGGGTAAAGAAGCATGAAAAAAAGAGCTGAAAGACAAAAGAGCAGAAAAAGCAAACTCTGAGTCATAAGAATCCAAAGCTGCCAAAAGAACCAAAATAGCCAAATAACCAAAGAACCAAATGAACTAAGGCCCAATCCCACTTCACCACTCGACCTACTCACTTAGCCCTTAGCCCTCCGTTCTGCGTGTTCACCCCTAGGGGTAGGGTGTCCCGATTCTTGTTGAGATAGAGGGGGAGGGAGAAGTGTTGGGGCTACATGACCCTTCAAATGGAGGTTTTTCAGACACTCCAAACAGAGAGTTATGAGAAAAAAAGAAAAATCAGCAAGATGGCTGAACAAGAGACCAAAGAAACCCACAAATGTGAGAATTTTCTCTGTTAAAAATACGATAATCACTGTATTATCTTAGTTTAATGGCCTTTTAATGTATTATGGTCGTTTTCTTCATAACAAGCATAAAATTTGCTAATAGTATGCTAATGTCTCGGTAGCTATCTAGCTAAATTTCCCATTCCACCTTAAATAGTCCAGCAGTTCCAACAACTGAAGCGCCAGAATGTAACTGCTGCACTGTTTACGGTGGAACAGGAAAATTCGAACAAGAAGCTGGAGAATATCTGACTTCAGCTTCAAATCACTGAAGAATTAGGGGTGGGCGATAATAAATAATTGCCCCCCTCTTTGAAGGCATATGATGCCCTAAATGTAACTAAAGCCCAGCAGTGAGGAGCTGAACTTTACCCTCCTCTGCTGTCACTGCAGACTGGCAGGGTCGCCTACAGAGCAGCGCTGGTAGCTGTTAATGAAGTAACGCTTTTTTATTTGAGGGCCCCATTTCAGAGGGAAGATTTCAACCACTACCCCTTGTAACTCAGTTCCAAGAGGCACCGTGACACTTGAAAACAAGGAGTAGGGGTAAAATAAGATATAGGACTCGGCCTAAAAGAGCAGAGGGAGCCAAAAGAATCAAAGAAAGCAAAAGCGCTGAAAAATAGCAATCAAACCAAAGAGCCCGAAAAACAGAAAGAAGCCAAAAGACTTGAAAGAACCAAAAGAGCAGAAAGAGTCAAAACAACCTAAAGAACCAACAGAAGCAAAAGAGCTGAAAAACAGCCCAGACAAAAGAACTGAGCCAAAAAAAAAAAAACATCTTTTAAATAAAGACACAAAAAAGTCAAAAGAACCAAAAGAGCCGAAAGAGCTGAGAATCGGGCAGTTTGAGCACATTCAGAAACCTGTGGCCGTCACACACAGTTACAGTCATGCTGCTGTGAGTGACAGGCGTGTGTGTGTGTGTGTGTGTGTGTGTGTGTGTGTGTGTGTGTGTGTGTTATAGCTGAGTGACTCTGATCTGAGAAGGTTGACGAGAAGGTGTTTGTGTGTGAAAATCAGCTGGTGAAGGTATCTGTGATAAGCTGTCACTGGATGATAAGCAGGATGTGCTGTGATATCCAGTCTCATGTTTCTGGACAATGCTCTGGTGATGGAAGCACGCTGACCAGTGATGCAGCCACACGGTAACTGCATGTAGCTAATATCTGATATTTTTCATGGAAATACAGTGGGGACCAAAAGTCTACCAGTGAAAATGTGTCTACTTTGCATTATTTTTTATTTTAATTCAACATTTTTCATTACAAATTATTTTCACAGCTTGTATAATCTTCATAGAAAAGCACTGACCAACAGAATGAGATGCTCTGGAGCAGCTGCACAGGAGCCTAAGGTCACCATGTCCAATGCCAGGGGTCTAAAGCCCTCCAGCGTTGTTCTGTGGAGCAGTGGAACTGTGTTCTTTGGAGTGATGGAGCTCCATTCAATACCTCTGGGATGAGCTGGAGTTCCAGAACTGCTCATCCAACATCAGTACCTGACCTCACTAATGCTCAATCAAATCCTCACAGCAATGTTTCAACATCTAGTGTAAAGCCTTCCCAGAAGAGCAGAGGCTGTTACTGCAGCAAAGGAGGAACAAACGCACTATTAATACCCTTCATTTCAGAGGAAACGCTGGAGACGTTTGGAGGAAGAGTGTATTTTCAGTGATGTGTGTCAGTAAAGATATACAGGGTGTAGCAAGCTGGACAAATGCAAATGCAAATATATGACAGACTGAACATGGGCAATAAGGCAAAAATGTGCTGCATTAAGTCCAATTATTCACTCATTCATTCATCTTCTAAGCCAGTTATTCCTGTGTTCATTGGGTGGAAGGCTGGAAACACCCTGGACAGGTCACCAGTCCATCACAGGGCAGACATGCAGACATCCACACCTAGAGGCAATTTACTATCTCCAATTGGCCTGACTGCACGTCTTTGGACTGTGGGAAGAAACTGGAGCACCCAGAGGAAACTCAAGCAGACACAGGGAGAACATGCAAAATCCCCTGGTTGCCTGGCCGGGGAATCGAACCCAGGCAACAGTGCACCTTACTGACAGGCAACAGTGCTATCCACTGTCTTTTGTGAGGTCCCATGAGGCTGTGAGGTGACAGTGCTGTCCACAATGTTTGTTATTAATCATCTGAAGTACTGACGATGTCCAAGATATGCTCAGAAAAGCATATTGTGACATACTGTGATGTAATTTATCATGATGACGGTAAGTATTGTTGCACTGCCCAGCTCTGTCACAGACCTACTCTTACTGTATTAGTTCTCAGGTATTACTATCCTGTTTCAAAGCAAATACACAAAATATTACCCAACAAAATTCAATAAAACAGAAATAAATAATAGAATCTCCCAAATTCTGGATGAATGAAAACTATGTTTAATTAGCCAACGGAGATCCCATTAAATACATCCAGCAAGGCCCTGCCAAATAATATCAGACAAAAAAAATCCAACTCTTAAGAGCTTAAATCCAATCAGCCTAGTGTGAATTAGGAAGTTCAACAGACGCAGTCCCACGGCTCCAAGGACAAAAATGGGGGGATTACAGCTTGAGTGTTTGAACAGTTATTTAACATGCAAATCAAACCCTTAAAGTGTTACAATTGTTTTTTTTTTGTTTTTTTTTGTATTAATGCAATAGCTATGAATTGCTTAATTCAACATTAGACCATCTACATTTCATAATTAAACACAGGAGACAGAACAACAGAACTCAGCCAACAAAAACAAAACATAACATAAAAATGTCCAGAGGAATTAAGATGAATACAAATAAATATGCAGAAAATCATCAGCCTCCACTTAAACAACACAATCTCTCCAGGGAGCAGACGGCTCTCAGGGTCTCCTCTTAAAGACAGACGGATGTACAGACAGAGAGAGAGACAGGACAGAGTGGCAGAGATCAGAAATCAGCACCGTCTGACGATGAAACGCGGCGTGTAGATCAGCGAGAGCTTCAATCGCATCACAGCAGCTTCACAAACACTGAATACTCAGAAAACCTAGAGAGGAAAATAACCCCGACCCGTCAAACCCCTCTGCCCTCGCTCACAGCCAAGACAACAGGAGGGTTTAACAGCCGCGCTGATCTCCAGCCTTTCAACACCAAACAGCACAATAAAACCATAAAGGCTTCAGAAACAGAGCAACAACAGCTCAAAGACGTACCTGCAGTTCGGAGGAGGATCCAGAGTTATTTCAGCAAGTTCCTTCTGGATTCTGCAGGAAAAACACAAGATAGAGAACAAATGAGACTGGGGGAGGATGAGAGAGAAATAAAAAAATAAAAAAGGGAGGAAGAAAAAAATAAAAAAGGGAGGAAGACACGCAAAAAGAAATAAAGAGCGGTACAAAAGACAAAGAAATGCAAAGAAAAACAAAGAATGACAGAAAAAGGAAAGAAGGAGAGGGAAGGAGAAGAGAGGGAAAGAGAGAAAAACAAAGTACACCAAGAAAGAAGGAAAGAAAGAAATAAAGAAAGAAAGAAAGAAAGAAAGAAAGAAAAAGTTCCAAAAATGAGGAAAGAAAGAAACAAAGAAAGAAAAAATCTAACAAAGAGGAAAGAAAGAAACAAAGAAAGAAAGAAAGAAAGAAAGAAAGAAAGAAAGAAAAATTCTAAAAAAAAGAGGAAAGAAAAAGAAAAAGATGCAAAAAGAGGGAAGAAAGAAAGGATTCTAAAAAAAGAGGAAACAAAGAAAAATATGTAAAAAGAGGAAAGAAAGTAAGAAAGAAAGAAAGAATTATTAAAAAAGAAGAAAGAAAAAAGAAAGAAAAAATATGCAAAAAAGATGAAAGAACGGAAAAATAAAAAAAAGAAAGTAAGAAAATAAAAAAAGAAAATATAGAAAGAAAGGAAACAAATACATTGAAAGAAGGCAAGAAAAAAGGGAAGAGAGGCCCAGAGAATGAGTGTGAGACAGACAGACAGAGTGACACAGACAGACAGACAGTGACTGAGACAAAGAGAGAGATAAACAGAGAGAGACAGAGACTGAAAATGAGAGAGAGAGAGAGAGAGACTGAGAGTGAGAGAGACTCAGAGAGGGGGGGGGAGACAGAGACTGAGTATGAGAAAGAGAGACAGAAAGAGACAGAGAGAGAGAGACAGAGACTGAGTATGAGAGAGAAAGAGAGAGAGAGACAGAGACAGAGAGACAGAGACTGAGTATGAGAGAGAGAGAGACAGAGACAAAGTATGAGAGAGAGAGAGACAGAGAGAGAGACAGAGAGAAACAGAGACAGAGTATGAGAGATTGAGAGAGAGAGAGAGTGAGTGAGAGAGAGACCCAGACTCAGTGTGCGTGTGCTGCGTGCTGAGCACAGCGCCCTCTGTCTGCTCTGAGTGAACTGCACTCTGCTCTGCTCTCTCTGCTCTAACAGTAACATGGCTGCTGCCTCTTTGTTCTCAGAGGCATGAGCCCGAATCCCTCAGCGCAAAACTTTGCCCTCCTCTCTTCTCTCTCTCCCTCCGCCAGGCGCACGCGCTCGATCCAGCACCAAACCCCCCGGACCCCCGGACCCCCCACCTCTGTCCCGCTCACTTTAACACACAAAAGATCCTCTTTTAAAGCTTATATGCAAATGAGGCAGAGAGTAGGGGGGGTGGGGGGGGGGCAGATTTGACAGGAGCAGAGAGGGGAAAGCCTCTGCACTGTCGCTAAAGCATTAGCAACAGCGCGCGCGGGGAAGCCGGGCAGGATTTCTGCCACTCTCTACACGAGCGCACACGTTTTAATTCCTCTCTGGACGCCCTCTGAGTGGGTGTTACCATACGTGTGTTCAGATTTCCAGACCGTGTGCACTGCGAATCAAGAACCGCTCAATTTTATGCTCTATTAAAAACATATTTGAGACGACAAACTGGCAAAGAGTCCAAAAAGTATCTGTAACCACTGAGAAACTTAATGAAGTTCTTTGGGTTACTTGATAAAATGTTTAATAAAATGATATTATAGAGAAAAACATTTCACATTTACTGTTATCCAATTTATACCCGTCTTTTTCTTCATTTTATGCCAGATTTTTGTCCGCTAACTCGTCCTGCGGTGCTTGACATATTGACCTCATTCCAGCTCTGGAATGTTCGGTCTGATTGGGAATAGCGTGCTTGTATATCGCTGCTGTCGAGACAAACCTCATATCTCCATTTTTGTTTCGTTTTTCATTCGTTTTTCAGTTTTTCACATAATTTGAAAATGCCAGTTGCTCTTTACATTGTGTGTAAATTTCATGACGAATGGACCAAAAGAAATGGCCCAAAATGACTTGGAAAAAAGTCTGGTTCCATTGACTTACATAAAAAGTAAAGTAGGTTTTTTCCTTCTCCTGTAAAGTTACCATTTTGGAGATACGAGGTTTTGTTACAACGGCAGCGACACTTTATTTATTTATTTATTTTCTAAATTAGACTTCCCTTATAAAGCGTTAACAAATGGTTTACAATTACTTTCTTAATGCTTATTAGTCATAAACACTTTAAAACATTAATAAACAGTTATAACACATTAACAAAAAGGGCAAAACTGAGCTGTTACATCTGATGAATATGAATATGTGATGAAGCTGAGTTTAACGCCGACTGATGAAGACAAAGATCAGTAAACATCAAAATCTGAATTTTAACAGTATTAATGAATGTGGGTTCACTATTATGCAAACAACAGTTCACTGTTGCCCTTGTTACCTATGTGTTGTGACCACTTATTCATGATTATGACCTAATTAATAACCATTAATAAATTAATAAGCTCAATGTAAACCGTTCATGAACACTTTATAAGGCTAGTCTTATTTTAAAGTGATACTGTTTTTTTTATGCACAGCTTTTTGATCAGACATACGGTTTTCATACAATCACTGTCAAATGAAGATTTTTTTCCCTATAGGAATGAATGGGTGCAAAAGTTTGTACACCCAGCTCATAACACGATAATACACGTCCATTAGCAACACCCTATTAACCCTGTGGGGTTATATAGAAACAATGTAGCAACACTCTAGCAAACATCAGGGGTACCAGAGCAACCGCCTAGCAACACCCTAGCAACCACCTGGGATACCATAGCAACCACTTAGCAACCAACTGGGATACCATAATAAATACTAATCAGCAGCCACCTAAAACGCCACAGTAACCGTATGGACCCTAGCAACCATCTATTAAACATCAGGGGTACCACAGCAACCGCCTAGCAACACCCTAGCAACCACCTGGGATACCATAGCAACCACTTAGCAACCAACTGGGATACCATAATAAATACTAATCAGCAGCCACCTAAAACGCCACAGTAACCGTATGGACCCTAGCAACCATCTATTAAACATCAGGGGTACCACAGCAACCGCCTAGCAACACCCTAGCAACCACCTGGGATACCATAGCAACCACTTAGCAACCAACTGGGATACCATAATAAATACTAATCAGCAGCCACCTAAAACGCCACAGTAACCGTATGGACCCTAGCAACCATCTATTAAACATCAGGGGTACCACAGCAACCGCCTAGCAACACCCTAGCAACCACCTGGGATACCATTAGAAGATTAGTGACTTATTGTGAAAACCTGCTTTATTACAATTAGAATTATTAGTCCTATCACAGCTGGTATTGTAATATTCCTGTACTGTATTGTTTTTTGTATTACCTTATATTTGTTTATTTTAGTGTTTGTGTGGTTTTTGTGTTTTCCATTTTTGCAATACATTCTCTGCCCACTGTATTTAACATTAATATCTTGGAGCGTTTCTTGTTAATAAAAATATGTGGCTTTAATGTTGTGAACACAAGTCTGTTCCATGTTTCTATACTTGCCGGATTTGTTTCCCGTCCCATATTTACATATGGGTAACAGAGACAACACGGTTTGTTTAGACACTAGACGAGGGCTGTGAGAGAAGAGCCATTAGAGAAAAATCCTCCTGAGAAAACATACCTGTGTGTGTGTGTGTGTGTGTGTGTGTGTGTGTGTGTGTGTGTGTGTGTCTGGTCCCTGTGATGTAAGTTCAAGAGAGGACATTACAGAGACCACACAAAATAAATAAATAAATTATGAACACAAACGCTTTCTGCCTTGTAGGAAAGAGTTGTTGTTTTTGTCCATATCCTAGATTATCATTGTATTTTATTTAGTTAGTCCACTTACGATACATTCATACACAAAAGTTTGTGCACCCCTCAAATTACATGTTTTGTCAATTTTGTAAGTGACTAATAAGTTAACATACCCTCCACAGAGAACACTTACACAGGGGTGCCCAAACTTTTGCACATCAGGGTATTTGTGTTCAGAAATAAAAAATTTAAAATTTTAATTTGTTGTTACTTTATGACTTTGTTATTTTGTGCTACTGCGCCTTGAAAGCTGATATTTGTAAGTGAGCTCTGTTCTGATTGATGCCTCATTCAAATAAAACTCCTTCGCAGTTTAGTTTCCAGAAGTGGACTATAAAGACTGTATGGACCGTATGGACTGTATGGACCGTACGGACTGGGGAGTGAATGGTATGTTTTGAATTTTTAACAATGTTTACATACTATATCAAGGTCTTTTAATAACAAAAAGTGAAGAAAATTCAGTTTTCCATGATATTGGCCCTTTAAAAGTGTGCAGTGTGGCTTTATTGACCCTCTCACAATATAAATAATCTGGTTTTTATATGAAGTTTGATTAAAGCAAAATTTTAATACAGCCAGGTTACTTTTTTAGGTTAAATTGTTTTCACATTATAAAAGAGAGTTATTCAAAACTTCCCTCTACTTTTATAGGTTTATTAATAATTAAGTCTATCGGCCTTGTAAGGAATCGACCTGGATTAATTATGCTTTGACCAGGCAATGCAGGCATGTTTGGGCAATCTGATCAGATTTGATGAAGGAAAAAAAAAAACAGTGGCAAAATCAAAGTCAGTATTTCTTTTTTATACTAACCTACATCAATTATGTTGTTTCATAAAGGGTCTTTGCATGAAGAAAGGGTTTGACTGATGGAGAACATGTTGCATATGGTTCCGTATAGGACCTTTTTGAAAAGGGTTCGATACAGCACCAAAAATTCTTCTCTTGTTAGAGACTTAAAAGCTTATAAAAACACTCTAAGAACCCTTTGGACACACTTAAAAAAGATGGTTCTTCAAGGGTTCTTTAGTAGAGAAAATTGTTCCATTTTGAATTATGACACTCAAAGAACCCTTTGCATGATTAAAGGGTTCTTTGCATCAAAAAAGGGTTTTTTTAGACTGATGGAGAATGTGTTACATACGGTTCTGTATAGCACCAAAAATGGTTCTTCTATTGTTACAAACTTAAAAGCTTGTAAAAACACAAAGAGCCCTTTGCACACACTTCAAAAAGATGGTCCGTCAAGGGTTCTGTAGCAAAGAAAATGGTTCTATATAGCACCTTTTTGAAAAGTGTTCTATATAGCACTAAAAGGTGCTATATAGAACCATTTTCTTTGCTACAGAACCCTTTATGGACCATCTTTTTTAAATGTGTGCAAAGAGTTCTTGAAGTGTTTATGGTTCTACATAAAACCATTTTCTTTACTAAAGAACCCTTGAAGAACCCTCTTTTGTAAGAGTGTAAATAAGGGTGGGCAAAATGTCAAAAATATAATACTGTATCAATATTTAGTCTCTCAGTTTTGATCAGGTGGTCCAGACAAAAGAGCTGCAGTAGAACCACATTTTAAAAAGTAATAAAAAAAATGAATACAGTCATTTTTATTCAGCATTTTGAGCTGCACTAAATTAAACAGGACTAATTAAGTTCAGCGTTCTTTAACCACTGATGTCCACAACACGCTCAGAAAATCACATTTATCACAATAATGATAAAATATCACCATAATATCCACTCAGAAGAGTGTTGGGTCACTGGTGGGTTTGGATAGTAAATAAAATGCCTATATTTGTGTTGCACCTGTCTGATATCAGCAGAAAACGCTGGGGTAGTGGAGTGTCTGCCTAGTTTCAGTGTGACTTCCTACTTTTAAAAGCTCATTTTAAGAAAAGTGCATCAGCTGAAAATGTTTTAAAGCTTTAAAGTAGTTTTCAAAGAAGAAACGTCAGATCAGGATCCATATTAGAGAATATTTAGAAAAAGGAAGTGATGCTGTGCCATCTCTAAATATAGGAAATATAGGACTCTGTCTATAAGTAAAGGTTCTGTAATAATGTGAACAGCAAAGCAGTTCAAATCTTATTCTTTTCAATATGTCGCCGCTGTTGGAACAAAACTTCGTATCTCCATTTTTGTTGTTTTTCGGTTTTTGTCATAATTTGAAAAAGCCTGTTGCTCTTTACATTGTGTGTAAATTTCATGATGAATGGACCAAAATAAACGGCCCAAAATGACTTGGAAAAAATTCTGGTTCCATTGACTTACATTAAAAGTAGAGTATGTTTTTTCCTTCTCCTGTAAAGTTACCATTTTGGAGATACAAGGTTTTCTTCCGACAACAGAGACTTGCTCTTTTCACTTCCTCGGCTTAAGATTTCTACAACTTTCTGATTTTTCGACAATGACTAATGAAACCTAACCTACATTTCCTGCACATCTACTCCGCATGACATCATCTACCGCTCTGCCTGACTGCGCACCTCACTCAACGACAGCATAAAAAACAGTTACAGCCTTAATTCCCAAACCAATGAGCCCAACGTGCCAAACAATCACCCTCAGTATTTCCCCGCGTTAATGAATAAGCCCTAACTGCTGTAAACCAGCGCCATTCATCAGCCGGCCGCAGCTCACAGCTTACTGCCTCGTCTGAAACTCTTCTGAACCCGCGTGAACGAATCTGTCGCTGCTTTATGTGCCGTTATCATGCATTAGACTGCACCGCGCCTCCGTCAGTCACCCTGAGGAGCCTCTTCCAGGGACGGGACCCGTTTTAATGAGACATTACTGTATAAAACTGAGTGGTTATCAAACTGTTTCATATGTCAATAATGTGCACGTTTATATAGCTACAACCTGAACAGCAAACAGTGGAAGAGGTAAGGATGGACGGTAGTTTGTGGTGCTATACAGAAATACAAGAGGGTCAATAAAAAGTCTGTCCTATATCATTTCATTGATATGGAAATCGAAGGACAATGCCACAGATTTTTTTTAAATTTTGCACAATGTAATGCTTAAGACTGGATTGATGCGAAATGCTCCATTCTAAAGGAACTTTTATTCACAGTGGTGGTGATGGGAACCAGACGTCTGGAGAGATGAATGCCTCTAAAAGCTCCCTCACAGGAAGTTACTACACATAATTGATGAAGACGCTGCCTCACTGACACTGTGTAACAACAGTTTGGAGGTTTAAGACTAAATCATTCATGGTGGAGAGCGAAATACATGCAGAGCGCTGTGAGGCAAAACAGCCCCCAAAGAAAAAGGGTCATTTTTAGATTTACCTCCACTACTGGGGCAGTCGTGGGCTGGAGGTTAGGGAGCCAGCCCTGTGACCGGAGGGTCACTGGTTCGATCCCCTGAGCTGACAGTACGTAACCAAAGTGCCCTTCAGCACCTAACTCCCAGGTGCTCCCCGGGTGCTGTGGATAGGGCTGCCCACCGCCCCCGGGCAAGTGTGCTCACTGCCCCCTAGTGTGTGTGTTCACTAGTGTGTATGTGGTGTTTCACTGCACGGATGGGTTAAAATGCTTAGGTTAAATTTCCCCATTGTGGGACTAATAAGGGTCACTTAATCCTAATTTTACCATCATTAACATTACATATACACACCTAAGAAAGATGGTTCTTCGAGAGTTCTTTAGTAAAGAAAATGGTTCTATATAGAACCATGAACACTCAAAGAACCCTCTGCATGATTAAAGGGTTCCTTGCATTATGAAAGGGTTCTTTAGACTGATGGAGAAAGTGGTGTATATGGTTCCTTTTTGAAAAGGGTTCTGCACAGCACCAAAACCCTTTAAGAACCCTTTGCACACACTTAAAAAAAGATGGTTCTTCAAGGGTTCTTTAGTAAAGAAAATTGTTCTATATAGCACCTTTTTGAATAGTGTTCTATGTAGCACTAAAAGGGGCTATACAGGACCATTTTCTTTACTAAAGAACCCTTAAAGAAGTCATCTTTTTTTAAGAATGTAAATAAGAGCGCAGGAAATGTCAAAAACATCGCGACACTTGAACACATTTTCACAAAATATGATATGTATCATATTTAGTTCTCAGTTTTGATAAAGTGGTCCAGACGAAAAAGCTGCAGCAGAACCACATTTAAAAAAGTAATACAAAAACTGAATAACATCATTTTTATTCAGCATTTTGCGCTGCACTAAATCTGATTTAACAGGACTAATTAAGCTCTCTGCAGTGAAACATGCAGCTGTTCAGTGTTCTTTAAGCACTGATCTCCACAACATGCTCAGAAAATCACACTGTGACAACATTTATCACAATGACGACAAAACATCACCACAATATCCACTCAGAAGACTCGTGTAGGTTCACTGGTGGGTTTGTATAGTAAAATAAAATGTCTACATTTGTGTTGTAGTCATGGCGACCCCTGGTTCCTATCAGCACCACTGTAAAAACATCTGAGTCTCTACAATCAACAATTTCACACCAAACCACTCTGAATGGATCTGTTTACATTTCAACCACTGAATTATGCAATAATGCCAAAAGCAGTGATGAGTGACTGACATGGTGACTAATATGAAATCCTCATACCGTCCCGCCCCTCGACTGTTCAAAGAACATTGTTTATTTACCTTTTGGCGCTGGACGACAACTTTGCTGTGGTTTTGCTGGACAGTTTGGTGGCTTTCTTCTGCTGCTGCGGAGGCGTGGGCTGCTTCCTCTCTTCCTGCTCTTCTGGCTCTGGAACCGGCGGATCTCTCTGATCTGCATCTGAACTGCCGCTACTGGTGCTGGGGCTTTCGTCGTCTGACCGCTGCCTTTCACTGGACATCTTTCCCCACCTTGGGCCAACAACAACAACAAAACACTACTTAACTCAGGAGCTTGACCTTGGGGGTATTCCATAAAGCAGGATTTCTTAATTTAGCTGGATAACTTAAGCCAGATGTGAGGACTGTCCAATAGAAATGTCCTGTTGAACTAGCTTGGCTTAAGTTGGCTTAAATTAGCTTTTTTTAAACAAGGCAGGATTTCTCAGTTTATCTGGATGACTTCAGACAAAACCAAGGTTGGTCCAGTAGAAATCTCCTATTTATCTAGCTAACATCAAACTGGACAACTTAAGCCAAAAGTTTAGGCTTGTCCAAATGAAATGTCTCTCACCTCTCTATTGGACAAGACTTGACATTTGACTTAAGTTATCCTCCTAATTTAAAAAAAATCCTGGGAGGTATTTTTCCAAAGCAGGATTTCTTAGTTTAGCCGGAAAAATCAAGCCAAACAAGAGGGTTAAATAACGGAAATCCCCTTTACCTTAAGACAGATGTGAGGACTGTCCAATAGAAATGTCTCTTACTTATCATGACTTAAGTGGGCTTAAATTTACTTGGCTAACTGAAAAAAAATCTTTATTTTTTCTTTTAACAAAGCAGGATTTAGTTTAGCTGGATAACGTCAGCCAAAACCAAGGTTGGTCCAATAGAAATCTCCTTTTTATCTCAATATTTATCTAGCTAACGTCAAACTGGACACTCAAGCCAAAATTTTAAGCTTGTCTAATTAAAATGTCCCCCAACTCTCTATTGGACAAGACTTGACATCCTGGAAAAAATCCTGAAAATCCTTGAAAAATCCTGGGAGGTATTTTTCTCCAAAGCAGGATTTCTCAGTTTAGCTGGACAAATCAAGCCAAAGCAAGAGGGTTAAATAACGGAAAGGTCCTCTACCTTTTCTCCTGTTGAGCTTGGGTTCTTTCTTTATCTACCAAACAGTAAACTGCACAATTTCAGCCAAAAGGTGTGGACTGTCCAACATGCCTTACCTTTCCCTCCTACTGGACATGGCTTGGCCTAAGTTATCTGGCTAAATGAAACCTTGCCTTGTGAAATACTCCCATGCTCAACAACAGTGCCTCCCAAACATCCCCGTCCACGGCTGCTTGACTTCTATCTCAACTGTCGCCTCTGAATTGCACGACCACTTCTGTCTGCATGCACAAGAGAGCGAGACAGGCTGTAGCAAACTTCCACCCGTCCATCTCCAGAGCCCCCGCAGGCGGCTGCTTCGTCTGCCGCCAGGTCCCAGAGCGTCTGAGACCAACAGCAATGGAAAAAGAAGTGGGTGACACCAATCCGCTCCAGCGGGATCCAATTACTTACACCAAAACTGCTGTCAATTCTGCAAGTGCAAGGGCATCCATCCACACTCAGGCTGGGGGGGGGTGGTAAAAAACGCTCCTCCTCTGCACAACTGCTGCTTAAGTGCAGCCAGCTTAATCCATTACCGAGACCTAATGGTCCCTATAAATAGTGGCTGACCAAAATCAACCAACATTAAAGCCATGCACATGGATCTCGGCCCCCGGCGTGAGCTGGTTCTTCTCGTCTTCTCGAGGAGATGATGAAGCAGGCTAGACACATTTCCCCCAAGAAGCTGGTGAAGAGAGAGCAGAGTTCTCCTCCTGCAGGAGCTGTGGAGAGTGAACACAAGCCCTAAAAGCAGGTTGAGGAGAGGGAAGAGAGAGAGAGAGAGAGAGAGAGAGAGAGGGAGAGAGAGGGAGCTGGCTAAAGCTTTCCAGACTGAAGAGCTGCATGGAAAAGCAGAATCGCAGCAGAGGAGGAGGAGGAGGAGAAGAGGAAGGAGGAGGGGGGAGAGAGACGAGCAGAGCTAAAATAAAACCCCCATTTTCATAATAACCCCCCCTACTTCCACTTTAGCGCTAGGGTTAGGGTAAGCGCCGCGAGATTAAGCCTTTCCGTCCTTTGCTGGGTTGAAAAGGCAACAATGAAGCGAGCTGCTGCTGTCGAGAGGATTTTTGTTGCTGCTGTTGTTGTTGTTGTTGATGTTGTTGTTGTTGTTGGAGCTCAGGAGGTTTTGTTGTGGTTGAAGCTCCAGCATGGTGTTACCAACTGATGCGTGAAGTCAGTTTTTCGAAGAGGAGGAGGAGGAGGAGGAGGAGAAGAAGAAGAAGCAAGAAGGAGCAGGAGGAGGAGGAGGAGGAGGGGGGTGGTGGTGGTGGTGGTTAAAAAAAAAAAAGAAAAAGAAAGACAAAACCCCGCGAAAAGGACGACGTTTTCGGCCCCAAACCCGACCCTACAAGCTTCTCCTTTACCTTAGATGCGCCCTCGTCCTGCTCTCGGTCGGTTTGGAGAGAGAAATCCTGGAGAAACGAAGCCGGGAAGGACGACTGGCTCTGGCCGAGCTGTGAACATTGGAGAGTAGGAAGGAGAGAAGGAGGCGCTGCAGCGGCCACGCGCAGCCGCTAGAGGGCGCCTAAGCGCGACTGCACATTTTAGAAGCATTGTTTTTTTATTAGGGGGTGTAAGTGTGGCAGAATCCGGATAAGAATCTGGTTTATGTATTTTTTTCCTCCAGGGATGTTACATTCAAGATAGCAAGCTAAATGTTCCAGAGCTTGGATTGAGTTGGGTTTTAAAAGTGCAGGAGAATCAGAATCGGGATTAAAATCCGCTTTATTTCTCAACAGGTGTGTTAGAGTGTGGACGCAGTGTTGGATTAACAATAAAGCAGCTTGAATGGGATATTTGTACAGTTTTGACATTAGTTTTTATGAGTGCTGACAAAGTGCTTCTAAAGTCGTTGCCACCGGAATAAATAAATGAATAAATAAATAAACATTCTTCTCTGTTTCTGTAAACTTTATGACTTATTTCTTGATCTTAAATGATTTTTTTCTAGTGAAATATTAACTTGTTTCCTCACAAATTTGGCTTTGTATCTCAAAATACACAAAAAAACACATTTTAAATGAGAAGATTTTACTGAAACTTTTGAAAAAAACTCAAACTCCTACAAAAAAAAAATCAGGGTCAAAAACCGCAATTAAACCGCTGCCAAATTGGAGCAAAACCAAAATTGTACTTGCACTTACATTTTTGTCTAGTATATGTTAAAATATTTACTTATTTTCTCTAAAAAATTGACTTGGTATTTTGAAATAATGACTTATTATCCCAAAATAGATACTTACTCTCTTAAAATCAAAGTCATTGTTTTGACAAAGTGAGTCATTTTTGATTTTATTTTAATCATTTCTATACTCTGGTTTTGAAAGTTCTGTTTTCACCTTCTTCCCTTTGACTTTCTCCTCCTTATGCAGTGGATTATGTTGTATCTCCTCAGAGATATAAGATAATAAACGAAGGGTGGTCTCTAACTTTTGCACAGTTCTGTATATAATTTTATTATTTAAATTTTTTTTATTATTTTTTGTAAATATACACTCATTCCAAATTTGATTCCTGCAGTTTTCCAAAAAGCTGGAATATGAGTATGTTTACCACTGTGTTGCATCACCTTTCCTTTAACAATGTTTAATAATCATTTGGGGACTGAATAGACAAACTGATCCTGCACGTGATCCCAAACTGCACAGGGCCTTCATTGTCATATTTTGAGCTTAATACTGTGCCACACTTTTTCAGTGGGAGACAGTTCTGGACTGCAGGCCGTCAGTCTAACACCTGCACTCTCTAATTACGCAGCCATGCTGTTGTGGTATGTGCAGAATATTTCATGGTGTTGTCATGTTGAAATAAGCATGGACATCCCTGAAAAGATGTAATCTAGAAGGCAGCATGTGTTGCTCCAAAATCTGTTTAGCATTAATGGTGTTTTGAGAAGTTACACACTAATACTCCCAATACAATGACTAATGCTGGCTTTTGAACTTTACACTGGTAACAATCTGGATGGTCCTTTTTTCTCTTTGGCCCAGAGAACACAATGTCCATTATATGTCCATAAACAATTTGAAAGGCTGTCTCATCAGACCACAATGCACATTCCTACTGAGCATCATTCCAGTTCAGATGAGCTCAAGCCCAGAGAAGCCGGCGGTGTTTCTGAACATTATTGATATATGGCTTCCACTGTGTATAGTACAGTCTTAACATGCATCTGTGTTGACAATGGTTTGTCAAACTGTTCTTAAGTCCATGTGGTGATACCCTTCACAGAAACATGCTGTTTTTAATGCAGTGCTATCTGAGGGGTCAAAGGTCACAGGCATTCAGTTGCATTTTTCTGCCTTTTTCTATTATGCATAGGGATTTCTCCAAATCCTCTGAATCTTTTGCTGATATTATGAGCCGTAGAGAATGAAATACGTAAAGTGCGCTTTTGGAAAGCGGCGACTGATCCTCACTCATAAAGCACTCAGACTATCCTGGATGCTCCTTTTGTACCCATGTATGACTGCATCACCTCTTTAAGGTGTTCTTTGAAAAGTTTGTAATCTTAAATTGCTCCTGTCAAAATGTTTTGGAACGTGTTACAGGCATCAGTTTCAGGAGGAGTGTACAGTTACAAAAAATGGTGAAGTCAATAAAGTGAAACATTATAAATCTTGCCTTTGTACTGTTGTTGTTCAAATACAGGTCAAAGTAGATTTAGATAAATCACTACTTTGTTTTTATTTACATTTTACCTACTGTCCCAGTGTGAAGAGCAAGAATTGGGTTTGTATTACTTGAGTGTAATAATAATGAATCAGTCACATTCCTGAGGTCAGCAGGTCAGTTGGCCTCAGGCAGTTTCCAAAGGAATAACAAGACGAACAGCAGTGTTCAATAAAATGGCTGGTAAAAACAGTAAAAACACATTGAGAATAAAAGGACGCAGAGCTAACGTAGATCATATAGATGTACTTTATTGATCCCTCAGGGGAAATTTGGCTGCCATACCAGCAAATGTTCAGCACAGAGTGCATTAAATATATAACTAGATGTTAAATATATAATAATGCAGAAGTAACTACCAGTATCAGACCCAAAAACAGCAACTTTCAGGGTGAAACTGAAGGGTGTTACTTGTACTCTTCTCAGTTTGGATCCTTTTGGTCTAAAATAAAATGCTAAAGCTCCAAACTATGAGATGTGAACAACAGTAAAGCAGTTCAGGAACTGAACCAGCAGTTAAATTAAACCTAAAAAGGAGAATTAGGAGCTAAATATTAATAACCAAAGTGGAACTGAGGAAAAATTACATCACGGTTACATGATGGAAATAATATTTTATGTCATAATGTTAGTTACAGAATAATTTATGGTAGATACTGAATAATTCATAGTAGATACTGAATTATTCATACTAGTTATAGAATAATTTATGGTAGATACTGAATTATTCATACTAGTTATAGAATAATTTATGGTAGATACTGAATTATTCATAGTAGATACTGAATTATTCATAGTAGACACTGAATAATTTATAGTAGATACTGAATTATTCATACTAGTTATAGAATAATTTATGGTAGATACTGAATTATTCATACTAGTTATAGAATAATTTATGGTAGATACTGAATAATTCATAGTGGATACTGAATTATTCATAGTAGACACTGAATAATTTATAGTAGATACTGAATAATTCATAGTAGACACTGAATAATTTATAGTAGATACTGAATTATTCATAGTAGATACTGAATATTTCGTAGTAGTTACAGAATCATTAATTGTAGGTACTGAATTATTCATAGCAGATATTGAATAATTCATGGTACTTAGTGAACAATACACTTAAACTCAATAACTGAATAATAAGGTCAGGGTTTAAGAAGTTCAGCTGTGCAGAGCTGTGCTCTCCAGCTATGGCAGAAACCGTGAAAATCAGAAAAAAGAGAAAATCAGTGAAAGTGTATTTAATGGAACTCATGAAACAAGACTAACTGTGTTAGTTCTATTAAGCTCCGTCTCTCTGCATGTAAAATCCTCCACAGCATGAATACAGCCTTTCACAGGAACACTATCATTACCACTTCATGCTTATATTGCTGGCTATTAATAAAAGAGAAGTACAGTCTACACAGAGCAGAGAACACGCGGGGTGGAAATGTGTTTCTGAAACTCCTCTTGGCTGTCAATGAATTTATTGGTATTGAGTTTCTCTTTGCAGGGCCAAATAAGGTGATCTGTTTTGTGTCGCTGTTGTGTCACCTGATAGAAAGTTAACATTCACATATAAGAACTATTATAAAATAATGCAATGCTGGAACTTAACGATAGTCAATAAAAGAACTGACATGAATGAGTTGGCAGGGGCAAGAATGCAGGTCTCAATGCAGTCATATACGGTCACAATACACCAACACAGCGATTGGGGTTTTCGGTGTTTGCTGAAGGAAATTAGCGCAGCTCTGGCTATTAGCGCCTTCAGACCTTTAATTATAAGAATCTTTAATTAAAATCTTACACTTTTCCTCAGAAATGAGTTATTAAAATTAAAGTAAAGTAAAATACTGTGTACACAGTTACCTCCCATGGAACTGCCAAGCTTGGGCTAGAGCCCCCCAGCATTGGGCTGTGGAGCAGTGGAACTGTGTTCTCTGGACTGATGGAGCTCCATCCAATACCTTTAGGATGAGCTGGAGTGATCCAGAACTGACCATCCAACATCAGTACCTGACCTCACTTATGTTCAATCAAATCCTCACAGTAATGTTCCAACATCTAGTGTAAAGCCTTCCCAGAAGAGAGGCTGTTACTGCAGCAAAAGAGGAGCAAACTCACTATTAATGCCCTTCATTTCAGAAGAAATGCTAAATTAGCAGGTGTCCACAAACTTTTGGACATATTGTGTATGTCTACTGAGGAAAAACACTGGATTATTGCTTTAAGCAGGCTTTTTTAGTGTGTACTGTCGACCTACCATGCCAGAAATTAATATTAAGAGGAAATTACACAGAAGCTTCAGCAACTAACTACATCACATTTTTCAGATATTTTTCCACCTCCAAAGTTCAGTCTTAGAAGTTGGTTTTGCATTTTTTGCTTCTCACGACATTCAGTGATGTTGAGGTCCGGACTCTGGAGTGGTCAGTCCATTGTTCTAAGAACACAATCAGTGAGGGCCTCTTTGGCAGCTACGCATCCGTTCAGACCCATAGCGCTGAGTTGTCTTCTCACAGTGGAAGGATCTGAAGCAGCAG